GAGCTGAATCAAAATTTTTTGGTTTAGCCACCAGGTATATTTCGGGGTCGAAAAAATGTATTTTTCTTTTAAATTCCCATAAACAAACGTTATTGTTCGATAAAAAGGTGTAGCGGATAATTTCCAGGAGGTCTTTAACGAGGTACTTCGAGGGTCTGGGCCCTCGCGTTATAGTCATCGGGCCCCAAAATAAACGTGGGCCTGGCATTTGCGTGCATGCGAACCGACATTAAGGCGCTGGCTTTTGCTTTGCCGAGTGTACGAGCCTTCTTTGTCGCCTTTGCATTGTCTTGGCTCACGATCTGCCTCAGCGTATATGCATACGGTGCGCGTACGTATACGCGCGTAAATGGGCCTGAAGATCCGTATTGGGCCCTACCACGTGGAAGACTAGGTGAACCATGTACAGCGCTTCGCGTTTAACTCTCCTGTTCCGTGTACGTTTTCATGGCAATGCAATTATTTAACGCAACGAGACGCACTTGGGACCGTAGGACCCATTCTCGTTGGAGACCTACCGCTTAAAAGTAACCGTAGACTCGACACCGCTGGGTAAAGTAACGTCTTGCTGTTGTGTGTTTAATTGCCGTGAAGTTACTCAGCTGGACCATATCAGGATAATAAGCTAGACTGCGTGCAGTGTACTAATAAAATCGGAAAAAAGGGGCCTTACGCAAAAAAATATCCGGTAAGATATACGAAAATAAAATATAAATATATATATATATATATATATATATAAAAGCACACAAAAAGTGGTATGCAAAAAATTCAAAAAATTGTCAAAATTAAAAAAAAAAAAATTTCGAGTTTTTTCGAAATATCAAATTCCGTACACGCGAGATATATTTCAAGAGTGCGAACTACCTACGATCGATATCTCAATTTACTTCGTTACAGTGCAGAAGCCATATTGGATATTTGTATTGAGACTATATAGCAAGTTGGGCCAGTCGAAGGGAAGGGGCTCCATTAAGGGACTTAAGGCCCCTCTGTCTAATCACAGAGTACAAAATATCTTAATAACGACGAGCTGCGCAGCGGCGCATTCACAAAGAGCAGGGTATGAGATAATAATTCACACCAGAGGGCCCCAGGAATGGGCCCAGCGCTCGATAGGGCCCAGAGACTACTTCTTGACTCTCGAGTTACCCAGCCACAATACCGAGTACCTCCTAGCCCTTTACAGGCAGCTACGTTTTGCTCGCGGCAGCTTTTTTCACTCTCTCCTTTTGAAAGCTGCTCGCGAAGGTACTTTCGGAGTATAAAACGCCCCGACGCGTCGGCGTCGGGATGCTCAGGAGCCGTGGGGAGGGGGGCAGACAGAGCAAAAAGACGGCCGTTGAAGTGGGGCCCTCCTCGGCTCTGTAATTATCGCCAGTGACCGTGGGAATTAAATTACGAGTTAAATTCGTGACGTTCCACACGGCGTCCGAGAGCGCGGCGTCTTAACAAAAAACCAAATGACCGGGGCCTTAGAGGGTGATGAGGCCCCCCTGCCCCCATCGAACGGGGCGACAGAAGATCACGCTACGCGACTCCCTGCAGAGATCTTCGACTCGTGACGTCTCGACTTTCATTCATTCACCCCCTTTCACTTCGAAGCACTCGGTTGAACCTTAAGGCCCGTTTTCATTTTTTCATTTACGAGACCTCTGCGACGTAAAACACTTTTGGGCCTTATTTTCATTTTCGATTAAAGCATACTCAAACGCGCGTACCTATACAGCAGATCTTAACAGATATACCTGTAAGTAACATTATTATTTGACATTACGTTACGATAAACCTAACAGGCCCATTTTCATTTTTTTTTTCAATTAACGAGACCTCTGCGACGTAAAACACTTTTGGGCCTTATTTTCATTTTCGATGAAAGCATACTCAAACATGCGTACCTATACAGCAAATCTTAACAGATATACCCGTACACAATTTTATTACTTGACATTACATTATAATAAATAAAGGGATTAAGATATTAGATATAATAAAAGAAAAAAGAATACCTACCACAAGCTCTCGATAAAATCCCAATGAGGCCCCGTGACGAGAACAAGTTTTCCACGTTAATTAAAAAAATAAACGTGTTAACGAGCACGGTAAGGATACTTGCTCAATTAGTGAGCCAAGAAGATTCCAGAGATTTTACACGTCGATCGTTCCCACCCTTAGGATTTACAACCACAATGAATCTCTCCCACACGAAACACCCTCCTCCAAGCCTATAGTACGTTAACGTACACTTCTTGGTTGGAAACAAAAAATGACTCGACAAAATTCAAACGACCAACAAACTCAAAAGCAAAATTCAAGAGAGGACACAATTTCTCAAGATAAAGGTACTAACCCGGCATTGTACCTATGCTCTTTACCCGATTAGAGTAGGTCTCTTGACTAAAGCACAAATGAATCACGGGGCCATTCGAACGTGCTTTCTACGCGCTGCCGAGTGCCCGGAGCCTCTTCGAAGGGACGCGAGGATTCTCGACACGTTAATCCGAGGACAATAAGAGAGGATTCACCGTTACGCCGAGAGGCCGTAGTGTCAGGACCCTTTCAAACACTGGATTTTCAAAAGTTACAATGACGAATCTTTCTGAGTGAAAAAAAAAAATATTAAGTCAGAAACCACGTGACCCCGCCACGTGTAGGCGTACGATCGCTCGAATAATATTATTTTCGTCGTGCGAGACTTTTCACGTGAAAATAATGAAAGCCAAGGGATAGCCGATGAAAATGATCTTTTAACGACAATGATTACGCGGGATAACTTCTTTGGGGTCAACGAGGGAGAGATACGAGCGAGGTCACGACTCCTTCGTAACGTTGGCGAATTATCCAATAAGAGGTTCACATATGTGTTTGTATATATATACGTATCCGCATATATAGATATATTAGGCAAGAACCCTCTCGAATCTATATCGCAGCATCCACTGTGCACTTAGGTGCACGAAACAATAAAGTTGACTGTGCACTCCGGCATATCAGTAAGCGAAGGGGGTTCCAAAGGATGAATTTATTAATCGGACAGGATGCGACGATTAAAGTTCAAAGTTCAAACCAGTCGGGCAAAATTTGTTTCTTTATGCCCGCATCCACCACGATTTTTCGTCTTCACTTCGGAACTTTGGTTCAGCCCTGACGGAGCTGTCGGCATTCTCCAGCTGACGAACATTCGAAAAATTATTTATAACCCGTCATATATCCCCTGGGCCGCTTACACTTAAATATCTATTTTTCGCCGAGAAATCGAAGCCTGCGGGATTCGTATTACGACGGACTGACAATTTTTGGATTTGAACTCATTTTCTTTTATCCAGTCCAATTTTATCCGGCATTCACATTTATATGTGAAATTATCGTGAGGATTTTCCATAAAAATTTTTTTTACTTGCACAAATTTTTTTGGCATATCGTGATTTACGATCGGTTCGTAATTCCCGCGCAAAAAAGTGTCTTACCCGGTATCGTATTTGCATTGTGTATATGCCCGTGTGCGCAACGCTACGCGTACCAATAACAATTCCGTTGCTCCTCGCGGCCAATAAAAATGACTTGGCTAGTCGCTCGTAAAATTAATAAGCGCAATGAACGTTAACGAGGATCATAAATATGATCTCTTATACGCCCTGCTTATTCCCGCGATTAGCATAATAAGTCCTGATCCTGTCTACCTGGTGATTTTAAATTTCGTTACGAAGACGCCGCGGGCGCCACTTTTTTTTTTTTTTCTCAAAGCAGGCGTTTTACGTGCTATCGATACAATATCGATAATGGGGATAATTCGATCGCTAGCGAGAGCCGCGCGATCGTTATCGTTACGAGGGGTCAAGGCGGGAAATTCGAATTTCAAATTATTTTTACTATACCACGGAGCCCGTTAATTACGAAATAATTATTTTTAATTAATAACATACATCCACACGTTCGCTGGCACAGCCCGTACTCTGTGAATTGTGCTTTTTAATGAAATTTTATATAAATCAATTAAAATGCCAGTTAGCCGCTTATTAATTTCACGGTAATAAACGTAAACGATCCACAAAGGGCCCTTAACGATTGGGCCTTGTATCGCCTTTGTTCCTAATAATTGACGTTGTATTTTGTATTTAAGCCGAATATTCTCAACTGCGTATCAATAACGTGGGCACAATGGATTAAAAAGGTCATAGTAGGTGGATCAAGTATAACGAGATTCGCTCACGTGGCTTATTGCCATTTAATTAGCGTGCACTGTCCATACTCTTTTTTTTTGGGATCCCCAACGATGCAATAAATTTTCGATAGGATCGTAACGAATTAATAAGTAAAAAAAATTTTTTTATTTTTCAAAAATTATTTTCCTGCTTCATTACAAGTTACAAATTTTCTTTTTTTTAATTTATCCCATATACCTTTAAACCAACGATACGTAATTTTTAAAATTTCGAAGAAAAGCCCTCAAAAAATGGATTTCATTCCTTCCCAGAAACACGTCAACAGCTATGCACTCGTTTCCGTATTATCGATTCACCGACTGCGGATGAAATCTTTTTCGAGTACTCGCCGCCAACTATGCGGCCATTACACGTGGACCCTTAAAAAGGGAGCCGAAGCCTCGTTAAAACTTTCAGAGACGGTTCCTTGCAATTTGTAGGATAGTAGTACCCGATACGCGTTGCGTGTATATACGTATATACGATATAGAGAACGAATACCTGGGTTGCTGCCACACGCCGGCAAATTCTGGGAAAGGATCGAGAAAAAGGGAAGAAAAAAAAAAGGAGGAAAAGAGAAACCTCCTCACATAAATCTAAAGCGTCCTCGAGTTCTTTCTGGGTGGAATGCCCTCTTTTAAAGTTTCCCGCTCTTTTTGGGATGAAATTTTTTTTTTTTTTTTTTTTTTTTTTTTTTTTTTTTTTTTTTTTTTTTTTTTTTTTTTTTTTTTTTTTTTTTTTTTTTTTTTTTTTCATCAATTTTTATATCCCGTTCGTACCAACTACAATGCTTCTTACCTGTTTCAGGTCCAACGTTATCGTTACGTATTCGTACTGTTCGCCGCGTGCTAACGTCGGACTCTGCCACCATCTTCCTGTATTCGATTCCAGGGCGTTTGTGACGTTGTGCCTCTTTCCTGGATCGGGACTCCTTGCGTCGCAGATTGCGCACCGCAACGATTCCGAAGGCTTGCAAAAAGTTTCAGGACCGTCCTCGCCGCAGGTAGCATTCGCATGGATGTCAGCCTTTGCGGCGACGTTGAATATCGACGGGAACAAACCGCCATTTTTTGAACCCCTGTTCATCCCGTATTGTCCCGTCTGACCTGAAGCACATAAATAAGTTCGAAATAAAAATTTCGAAATGTACTTAAAAAAAGGTACTTTCGCACAAAAAAAAAGTATAACAAAGGATTCAGGTTAAGAAAAAAATTTCCAAAAAAATGTTTATCGACCAAGAAAAGTATAACCACTTATTTCCCCGTATTTTAGTGTTTTGGGGTAAATTTGAAGTTTTACCTTAAAGTTAAAAATTTCGATAATACAGTGAGTACAGTAAAAAATAAGATAATACAGTGAGTCAGCCATTTGTTATCGCATAGGTATTTTTACACAAATTTGAAATCCGAGTGTCATCGGTCCACCTATTAGCTTATCAAAGCAATCGTTTGACGAGGTATCGTCTATTTTCGAAAATACTCAAAATCCCTGTGACGTCATCGGCCAATTTGCCGAAGTACCTTCGTTCGCGCGTGTTACCCGATACACGGTTAATGAGTGGGCGCCGCTGATTAGTATACAGTTAAAGTATCTTATTGTCTGAAGTAGGCAGCGGATCCATGCTACTAGCTACGTACTACTTGCTACTTGTGTTCATGACGAGGACTCGAGACTTCAAGTCATTCTGAGAGTGACTGATGACGACGGAAATAGCCCAGTGCCATCCGTCGGGACGCAGGCACGTGCCTGGGTGCGTGAGAGCCCTGTAGCGCAAAACGCACGAAAGATTTAAAAAAAAATGTAATATCGAAAAAAAAACAAGAAAATTTTTTTTACAATTTAACGAGTGACAAAGATTCTGAAAAAAATACTAAAAATACGTACATACGTTGCAATTAATAAGGATACAACAAAAATTGAATATTCAAAACGAAATATTCGATCCGAAGAACGTAAGACTCGTGTGACTCGATGCCGTTATTAAGTGAGGGAAAAAAAATGATCTGACCGCGGGTGGTATCCGATAAATCGTGGGTTCCCATAGTAACGGAACCCTTTAAAGCACGTAGGTATACACGAGATCTCGCTTAGTGGAGAATTTTGAAAAAAAAAAAAAAAAAAAAAGACAGAGCAAATGAGTAGCGGGTAAAGATTTTCGTCTTTCGGTATAACAAGGCTGATCCTCATGGTAAAAAATTTTTTTTCATTTTTAAAAAAAAAAAAAAAAAAAAAGGACAGAGCAAATGAGTAGCGGGTAAAGATTTTCGTCTTTCGGTATAACAAGGCTGATCCTCATGGTAAAAAATTTTTTTTCGGTCCTCGTAAATAATGGGGTGGCCTTTCGTTTCACGCTGTTCACGGGACACCATTAAGGGGCACAGGTTGGATCGATGCCATTGAGAATATCCATTGGGACTCCTACTAAGGCCCCACACGATGTTCCCGGGTCTCTTGCACGGTCACCCATCCCTTATAAGGAGGCGCACGACGCGCATCCCTTTAGCTGAAGTACGTTGCCAGTACACCCTTTATACTCGGAATAAAGGTGCATTTGCATAGCACGAGAACAAATTCTTCTGCCATCTCTATGGTAGTTCGGTGTTGTATACTTTGGAGAGGATATAGATATCCCATTTGCGACGGTCCCATTTTGCATTTTTATTTATAGCAAAGTCAACGCGATACCATGCCTCCCCCCCTCCCGCCTCCCCCTGGGTCCGATGAGAAACCAGACAAAGGGATGCCCGGACGACGAAAGGCCGCAAGAGATTTTACGCAAGAACTCGTCACGGCTCGTTACCCGCATTACGCATCGGAAGCCATTTGACTATTATTATTATAAAGATTGCGTCACAGACATTTGGGTCCAGTCCCTTTCACTCTCAAGATGACTCTTTTTGTGGCCCGGCTCTTGAAGTCAGCATGAAAATCCTCCTTCCTGTTAGATGTCACACGCATTTCGAAATGGGACTACGAAGTGACGTACATTCGTTTAGGTTATGTTTACAAAATGCTTTAACGCCCATTTCGTATGCTCCGAAAGGAAAGAACGTAATACAATACGAAGCTATGAGTCCCAATTATATCCACTGGACTACTCGGGCGCTTGATTTTAATGTCATAAATGATATTAAATTATTCTATAGAGGATAATACTTTTTTTAATGATTTATTATAATTTTCTTAAATATTAATATCTGCCTCGATCATATACTCGACTGGCCCAATCTATTTTCCGTGTGCATCGAATACGCCCATGCAGGTTGTACACGGTCGAGTGTGAATGAAAGTCATCAATGGGGCTTGTGCGTATGCGCATGTGCAACAGTGTGGATACGAGAACAGCACGATGCACATGCAAATACCGGCAGCCCACTCCTGTCTGCTATGTTAATTGCGAGACAATGCAGCTGCAACGTGTCTGTTGGATCTTTTATAGTTTTGCATGCGGTACACGGCAACCGTTGCTTCGTACAAAGCCGTGTTTGGCTGTTGATTCAATAGTCATTGACTGGTATCTATTTTGACAGCTGTCACGACCACGTGGTCGGGACACGTGTTGTTGAATAAAATTTAGAAATTTCGAGTACTGTCGTATAACCTAAAATACCTTTATTGTAGATATATATATGGGCCAGTCGGAATCCTCCGTAAGGGACACGTGGCCCTTTTAGTTTAGAAGCGTGACGAATTTTGGGCCTGACCATTTTTCCATTACCAAGAAATTCAAAATGGCCGTCGGTACTCGACTTTTACAATTTCACTCAATTGTCATTGTGCCAGCTGTTCGTAACTATAATAGGCACTACTCGAATATAACAATTGGGCCCAATTGCGAAAACCCAATGAACACCGTACCTACGCTTAATCCCTGAAGGGCCTTATGGTGCACTACGTCACAGCAATTCTCTCCACTAATCTCCCTTTCAATGTCAAACTCCAACCATTGGCCGATTGTTTGTTCATAGGAAAAATCACACTGTCGATTATTTGTGTGGGCACCTTTAAAGTGGCGTCCCGCTGTCCTCGCGCGGCGTCCAAAATTAAAACGCGTCCGTTGTAACTAATGCCCCCAAGCCCTGAAACTTTCGGGCGATTAATTATACGCCAAGAAGTAACGAGCCGGGATATTAATGATATTCGCCATAAAAGTCACCACCCGCAAAGTGTCCACGTTTAACCAATAACTCCAATTTTACCGATACTTCAAAAAAAAAAATCAACATACACATTGATATACAATAATAATAAAAAAAAAAAAATTTCAAAAAAAAAATTTACCCATAATCCCCCATAAGACCCCATGATTAAAAGAAACTCCTACTTATTTTCACCATGAAAATTTTTTCACAAAATACCATGACTCCCTTGCACCTACATACCGGGTGTCCTTTACGAAACACCACAGTGCCGGTATACTCAACGCCCAGAGAATCTATGGTGATTGCATTCCTGAGATAATCGTGCTCGGCACCATAGCAGTGCCGTGCAATGCGTGCGACAGCGACGGGGTTATGCAGAGGAGAGCAGCACGTAACGTGAAATCAGCCATCAAGAGGACAGAAGAGGAGAAGCGAGTGAGAGGGAGCAGGGGAAAAAAGAGTGCGTTAAACATAAAAGAAAAGGGGAGCGAGAGAGAGAGAGTAATAAAAGAGTGAGAGGTTAACATCGTCAGGGCAAGTGGTTCTCAGGCCGATAAGACAGCTCTGGAGTGGCACGAATTTTCCATAGGGGAATTATGGGAAAGCGATAGAGTCTCATGAGTAACACGTGGTTACAAATGGTACCACCTACCATGTATACAAGACCATTAAAAAAAAAAAAGATATCCAACGATCGGTACTAATCAATTTTTCTAACAACCCCATAGATTCCTAAGGAGGTTTTCACAACGTTTCCACCAGACTCACGCTCTCTCTCTCTTTCTCTCTCTTCAACATCAAGAAAGGCATAGGTCCGAAGATGCTCGAGCCGCAACGGAATCCCGTGTACAGGGTCGACGATCTTGCAAGGACAGCCTTGCGTATGCACCTTAAGAGACTCGTGGAGAGCAAAATACTCTGAGGGAATAGACATAAGTATGGACAGTGCTATATATATATACACATATATTGTAGGCATGAAGACAGTGAATATCTATAGAATATAAAAAAAAATCCAAAAAAAAAAATATATATATATATATATATATATAGCTGTTGCTGTTTTCTACGTGCCACGTAACCACGAAGCTTTATTCGCGCTTCAGCCGTCCTGCCGTGTTATTTATCGATGGTTATTGAGCCCGGCCGTACACGTGGTTGCTGGCGCCACGTGGCACACACCAAGAGTACACACATATATATACATTATTTCTGAAAAAATCCCATAGAGTCATCGATCTGCTGGTATGCTAAAAGCAAGAGAAATAATAATAATGATAATTTTTTTTTTCAAAAAAAAAATTCATTTACTATTATTTTCTCTTTAATGCCCCGTAGGCGCACACGTCATCCAATATCCACAGACGATTGGTCACAGCTTAATTTAATAATGGGCCCGCTACGATATATCGATTAACCCTTTCCTATTCATTCCCTCTCTTTTTCATCTTCTTTTCTTGGCTTCTCTTTATCATTCATTCGCCACGAGCAATTCGGCCGATCGACCTGGCGTCTCGAGACTCGCGTAAAAAAAAGGTGTCTTATCTGTCGCGCGCACCGAATCAAGAAAAGGCCCACTCCCCCTCTCTCCTTTTCTTTCTTCCCTCAAATCCTTCGGCTATTTTAATTGTAAACCCGACAAAAAGGTATACGGGCCTTTTCCTTTTGGGCCCGAAGTCGCCGGCCGTAACGACTCGAGAGAGAATGACTCGCGCCTTTTTTCAAGGTGTCAGCCCTGTCAGGTCGCTGACGTCGTGAAAAAGGGTTCGCTAAGAGTGTCTTACGTTGGCAACACTGAGTAAAAAAAAAAAGCTAATAAAGCATATATACATATTTTTCCATTAGTAAAAACATATAGGTATTACGATATACAGAGATAAAGAATTATCTTGGAAATAGAAAATAAATTGACCCGGCAAAAAAAAATAAATAACACGTGCCGGTTGAGGGATGTGAGTGTAAGG